TGCAAATAAAATTGAACAAAAAATACCTCGTGTTAGTCCGCAACGAGCTTCGTTTAGCCACTCAATTTTAGACCAATCGGAAAAGAGGAAGATGATTTTTTCGACTTGTCTGCAATAGTTCCCAATCAGAGTAGTATGATGAAAGCTGCAGAATCCTTTAGGGCGGGTCTGGATGCCACAAAAAATGTCAGAAAACAGCCATTTTCTCAACATTTCAGAAAAATGGCTTTTCTTCATATCTCAAATTTGGCCTGTCTGGCTTCCAAAATTGTGATAAAATATATCACAAGAGAGACCAATAGTTCGACGTCCTCTGAAAGAAAAAAATTCACCTCTCCACGTCCATTTTTTATGTTGAATCATGGTCCGTCTCTCGTTCTGCCTTTCGACATACTCCGCTTGAAGTTGGCAAGGGAAGATCATGATGAAATGGAGCGATGACCTCGACGCCGTGTGGATCAACGAGATGATCCACCAATCGAATGCCTCGAGCAAACTTCGAACAGCGGATTCAAGAAAAATGTCTGGACAGCCACACTCGCCAAGCTAAACGAAGGCCCCGACAACTCATTCGCGATGCTTCAAATGAAGTTAAGAAACACGACGATCAAGGAGCATTTCTCATTGATCTGGCGCATGGCGAATGCATCTGGCATGGGTTGGGAACGCTCGAGGTCCCTCGTCATGTGTATCGACAACTTGGGATGCTTTCCTTCTTGGGAAAAGTGCCGACTTGGCCGCTGGAAGAACAAACCTTTCCCACTCTTCGAGCTCTGCGAGGTCCTTTATGAAGGCACACTCGCCAAGGGTAGACACGCTCAAAAATCAACGATCACGCGTACGACCTCATGTGATGTTGGCCAAGTCGAAGTTAATGCCGGCGACAATGAGGCGTCCAGCGAACTGAGCAACGTGAAGAGCTGACTGCACCAGATTTGCAAAGCGGAAGAAACCCACGTCGCATTTCTGAAGCTCGCGAATCTCCCCCGAAAAGAATTCGGCAGTCAGCGTCATCAACCATGGCAGCCGAGTAGCGTCTCACCCCGCAATTCGTTTGAGAATTGTGATGTGAGATGCGTGGCATCCAGATGATTTGGACAAATATGTTTATTTTTATTCTTCACATTCTGGAACGATATTTCGAAGTGGGAGCTCTCTCACAAATAATAAATGCCAATAAAGAGGCAAAGAGGCATCCAGACCCGCCCTTATGTTGTCTTTCAAGCGAATTGCCCAATGTGTCGAGGTGAACTTCCTCTCCCATCCATATTTGCAAAGTAGCCAAATTTCGCTATCGTAGGACAAGGCGTCAAACGCGACAACATACGTAACAAATTTTGCAGTGCGAGCAAACATTTCATGTGAGGTAGCTTATATTCATCACATCCTTGTGTTTCAATAGACCTCGGGTTTAAAGACTCGATGTTTTGGCAGAGGTGGCGTTGATATGTGATGGGTGAATTGTTCCACGAAAACATAAAATCTTTACCATTATGAGCACCAAACGCAGAATTGTGCACCACCTTACGAAGTGATTCACAATTAGAGGCAGACAGTACTTATACTACAATAGGGATTCAAGTAATTCCAAACGTCTATATTCACGATAGACCTAAACAACCCTAGTTGAATACTATATAAGGAACCCTTAACAAAGGAGTCTTAAAAATTAACAAAGATGACCAAACAATTTACATATAAGAAGAGCAAAAACCCAACACCATTTGATAAAACCTACCATGAATTACACAGTTTAAGTACCATATCCTAATTAGAAGAGTTGGGATGGCCCACAATCACTCTCGCTGTCAGATACATTTTCAGTTTCACTTCCGCATGCATTTCCACTGATGGCAGATTCAGAGGCAAGAAACATTGACAACCTAGTCTTGCGCTTTTCCCGGTACCTGATTTGAGCCTTTCTCTTATCTTTGATCTTCTTCATCCCGGTGGCATTGAGCCGATTGATGTACTGCGTGTTTGCGTCTCCATCTTCAGCTCGGAGAGGGTTGAATCGTATGTGAACATTTGTGATTGCCACACAGGTCTGAAATAGAACGTCGTAGTTCTTACGGTTCCATCTGTAGGCATCACCGCACACAGCCCAAAGAGTCTTCAGTCGGCCGAAGAAGTTTTCGACAACGACATGATCAGTGGCAATCAGATCGTTCGTGCGCTGCTCGTCGAAGGTAAGGAAACCACCATGAAGTCCGAGCCGAGTGGAGGACGGCTCGGACTTCATGCTGAATACCTTGATAGCCTTTGTCAACAAGAACTGCCCACTGCTCAGGCTGCCCGTCAACAACCGTCATCTCAATCTCTCGTGGGTTCTTCGTGAGGTTGGTCCAGTGAAAGTCCAAGTTGTCGTCGAAGATTGCCTTGTCCGAGACACTGCCTTTGTGGTAAGACGTACAGTTTATTGCAAGACCATTGGGAAGCACTGACACCTCAACCTTGTGACCGTAGAGATGATGTTTGCCGCTAAAGAAGAGCTTCTTTTCAGCATACGACCCGACCGGTACGTTCGTCTGCTGGAAAGTAACGTCCGTGGCATATCGAGCATGTGGATAGTTCTCGAAGCGTGTTCCATTGGCCGCCAGTTCGTGCATTGTCCACTTGCTCGCCATGCCATGGATGAACTTCCGAGTCAGGTACGGATGCATGGCTTCGATAAAACTCATAACTCGTTTCTCGAATGTTGCAGTGGTGACTCGAAACGTCTGAGCAACAATGTCCCAGGTACCGCAATGTTTGAGTGAGGCGAGCATCATGAGAAGCAGGTCACGAGGCTTTACGGAGCATTTGCGGCCGGAGCCAATGTTCCAGTGTCTGAAGACGTCTTGGCGAATGTCTGCCCAGAGGAGATTGAACTCCGACGGCGAGAAGTTGGTGAGTGTCATTATTCCTTCAGGTCCTTGAGTTTGAAGATAGGTGTCAAATACGGGGGAGTTGGAGTCTTCGTCGACGTCAGGCTCCTCAATGCGTGTACTCGTGTATCTAGCTCGCTTTGACTTTCTTTGTTGCTCTAGATTTGCGAGGAGAGCGATTCCTTGGCTCATTCTTCGAGAGTTTTGCTGCATTTGTGATGGTGTGTGTGTTGGTGATGCAGCTCGGGTAGCTGGCTGGTCTGAATGGATTCTTTGTAGACTTGACGCCGTGGTTGTGTACTGGCTCGCCTGGTCATTGCGCCGCCACGGTTTATATTCGAAATTGACTCCTTTGATTAGAATATAAGCGTGTAATTTCCGTGAGTATCGAGTTGTCGCTAAATGATCACCACCAAAGTTGTTCATCCATTTATTCGTTGTTGACGTAAGTTCTGCCAAGTTGTTAGTACTCTGCATGTAGAATCGATCCATTCGAAATGATTTCCTTTCCTTGAAAATCCATATTCATATTCGTGGGGTATTAATTTATTTCCGGAGGATTTTGACTTTTGTCAGGAGGTCTAATGGATAACTCGACAACTTCTTGAATTGTTACATGTGTCTTTTCAAACGTGTCAGTCATTAATTCGTTTTCGACTGAATCAATGCTCCTCGAGAGTCCGAATTCCATGTAAAAGGAAACCCCTCGAATTACACATCGTTCAAGGATATATGCATAAGATGTTGGAGAATTGATTACTGATCTCCCCTCCGCTTTGAAGCGGGTCAAGCCCAATAATTTACGAAATCTTATACCGTCAATTTTATAAACTGGTTGGAATCGTACATGTATTATTGACAATGGAGCGATTTTGCAAATGTCGAAAATTGAGAATTTTCCCTGTGAGGTGTAAAGACACGCGCGAATGGGGAAATTTGTATCTAGAAATTCCCCGTGTGAAAATCTCACTAGACAGAGCTTCCCACCCTTACAACAACGTCGTGAGAGTAACATGAGCGAGCACGACGAAGCCACTAGACGCAAAAAGACTGCATTTCGATTCTCAGTGTCTGCCGACATTGACCTCCTTAAGGTGGGGCCATGCAAGTCGATTTAACACGATGCATATCCCTTCGATGGGGTCAGCTTTATAGCGGCTTGGTGTGATGATTGGGTTGGGCAGCAAGAGCAGTCGCGAAAGTGCGTGTATTTCACTTTTGGAAAAGCAGAAGTTAAACTCACAGTCTTGCTCACTGTGTGTGTCCAGGTCAAAACGGACGCATGGTATTGAAATGGCTCTGGAAGTCGAAGCAAGTTCCTCCATCATCGACTCGACGAGGGGAAGTACATCGTGTCCGTCGGTCATTGGTGTGAGTCGGTTTGTAAAATCAACTCAATTGTCAATTTTCATGATTGAACTTTCCAGAAAAATCTACGTGGAATTCTTCAATTGCAAAATCACTCTAATATTGAATAGAAATAGTTGGTTTACATCGGTCATTGGAAGTATACAGTGCGCGCCAGGTGGAAAAAGCCACCCTGTTTTCTTGTAATTGCTATTGACGTATGTCCTTATTCGATAAGCAGACGTTTATGAACGAATTGATATGCTAATTGCAAAAGGATTCCAACTCCATGGGCACA